GATGATCATTATGGACAGTTTTGCTTTGCCTGTAGAGGGCACTGAAACGCGGGTAAATGCTCAGGCTGCTGCATACGAGTACATGGCTGCGTATATTGAAAATGCCAAAAAGGTTGGCCGCCTTGAAAATGCAATTGGTTGGTATCACAGCCACCCTGGCTACAGCTGCTGGCTCTCTGGGATTGATGTTAGTACCCAGATGCTCAATCAGCAGTTCCAGGAACCATTTGTAGCAGTCGTAATAGATCCAACAAGAACAATTTCTGCAGGGAAAGTAAAACTTGGTGCCTTTAGGACATACCCAAAGGGCTATAAACCACCTGATGAAGGACCTTCTGAGTACCAGAGTGTCCCACTTAATAAAATAGAAGACTTTGGTGTACACTGCAAACAATACTATGCCTTGGAAGTTTCATATTTTAAATCCTCTCTGGACCGCAAATTGCTTGAACTTTTATGGAATAAATACTGGATGAACACATTGAGTTCTTCTAGCTTGCTTACCAATGCAGACTACACTACTGGTCAGGTCTTTGATTTGTCTGAAAAATTGGAGCGGTCAGAAGCCCAACTGGGGCGAGGCAGTTTCATGCTGGGTTTGGAAACACATGACCTAAAGTCAGAAGATAAACTTGCCAAAGCTACAAGAGACAGCTGCAAAACTACCATAGAAGCAATTCATGGATTGATGTCTCAGGTTATTAAGGATAAACTTTTTAATCAAATTAACATCTCTTAAACAATCACTGGGTAATACTTTTGCCTGAAACCCAGTAGGAGAAAAATTCTCAAGTAGAACTTTGAAACTGTTTACCAAAAACTGATTAGAAGTATAAGGTGCTTGTGAATATTAGCAACCTGTAATAAAGTGCTTTGAAATGAAAAAAAAAAATGTCTCAAAAGTATTTCAAATTTTAAAAAAGTATTTTAAGTGTACCAGTACTTATTAAAGATACTTGAAATATTTTGTGCCCCCATGAAAATTCTAAAGGAAATACACTAAATGGTTGACCGTGGTCTCACATTGAGAGTGATTGTTATTTTGCCTCTCTTATGTGTTTTTTAGTATTTTACAAATGTCTAATGAGCATGTCATCTAGCTTGAGTGAAAAAGAGTGCAATAAAAACACCTGGTAAATGATTCTTTATAACCCTACAGTAAAATTAGCAGGATACTTGAGAGATAATGACAATCAAGTTTATTTTTCATTTTATTGATAAGATAGAGGGAGCCTGATTAAGTGGAGAATTGGTCCACATCTCTAAGACTGCCTGGTTTGGGTACTATTACCTGAAGTACTTAAAGGCCTGACTACCCTACACTGCTCAGTCAAGAAATCTCTGTTAAAGTAAGCCCGTTTTCATTTTTCTCATGCTAAACATAAAGGTCAGTTCGTTCTGAACTCTTTTTGTGGCTCTTCTAGGTGCACTAACTTAGAGATGAGAAATGCCCATGTATCCTTGACAGCAGCTATTCATTACTATCCACTTTGTGTGTTGTCAGAGGCCTCGAACTCATGTGGAGTTAATGATTTGGTAAATATATCTTGGGGTTTTCTTGGTAATAATATTCCTGGTTTCTAGCTCCCTACTGTTAAAATAAATAAATTCTCTACACCAGCATGCCAGAATGGAGCTGTGCTTTGGAGCTAAGGTCAAGTGTGGGGTCAATCAGCAGGAGGTCTTATAGAACCCAAGAGGCTATGCCATTTCAGGGCAGAATAGGTCTTTTTCAAATGTAAAAGTAAGTGTTTACAGATTGTTGAAACAAATGTGACCTGACATCATTTCTCCTTTCCTTTTTTTAAAAAATAACTATCCAACAGATATCACATGGTAAAAATCTCAAATAAAGCTCTAGGCCTTATTTAATGATCAGGTAACTTTTCTTAGGCTTAATTTATTGTTTAAATCTGTTAATTTTCTACCACACATTAAACAGAGTCCATTTAAAGGACAAATTTAAGCACGGAAGTTCTAGTCAAGGCAGGATCTCTGTGGAAAACAGTAGAGAATTAAGAGAATACAAAGTGTTGGGGTTTTTTTAAGTTATGGTACTTCAATTTTGTACTTGACACCATTTTGGTATTTTAGTGTAATAACACAAAATTTACCTAAATGTGCAATTTAATTTGGGCTACTTGAGGGAAAAACAGGTTTAGAACGTGTAAAAATCACATTTGTTGTTGATTGTCGTAAGTCAAGCATGACTCATAGAGACCCTGTGAGCAAAAGGCCTGAAGCCTTTCTATAACTATCGTCATTTATCAAAGTTCATAGTTTTTATCAATTCTGAGTTATTCACTAATAACATTATTAGGTCTCTCGTAGATCTATAAGTATGTACTAAATGTAAAAAAAAAAGGAGAATCAAAGCATTTTTAAGATTAAAAAAGTTATTATTTCTCTATTCTTATTTGGGTTCAGAACACAAGAGTACTTGGTGTTACAAGAAAACTATTACAGTGTCAAGTATGTTTGGGAGATGTTCATGCATGCTCTACCCTTATCATGAAAATTCACAATTCAAGTAATCATATTAAATCCTGAAAGACAATTCTATTGTAAAAGCACAGTCTAACTTGGCTTAATCCAATGTTTCTGAAATGTACATGATCAAGGCTTCTTTTTGTATAATGTTTTTTAGTTTTCTATAGAGCTTCTTTAGTCGCAATATTTATCGCAATATTTATCGGTCTATCCCACCTGAATTTCAGAACCATCTCAGGAACAGATTTGAGGCTTTGAACACTAATGAACGAAGGCCAGATGAGTTGTGGGAGGATATCAAGGGTATCATCCAGAAGAGTGCAAACGGTCATTGCAAAGACAGAAGAGGAAGAAAAGACCAAAATGGATGTCAGAAGAGACTCTGAAAATTGCTCTGGAGCGCAAAGAAGCCAAAGCACAGGGAAGAATTCAAGATACTAAAGAGTTGAATAGAAGATTTCAAAAGGCAGCACGGGATGACAAAGCAAAATATTACAATGAAATGTGCAAGGAGTTGGAGTCAGAAAATCAAAAGGGCCGAACTCGCTCAGCATATCTTAAGCTCAAGGAACTGAAGAACAAATTCAAACCTCGAGTTGCTATAATCAAGGATGCTTTCGGCAGAACGTTAAATGATCCCGGAAGTATTAAAAAAAGATGGAAGGAATATACTGAATCACTGTATCGAAAGGAATTGGAAGACACAGAAGAATTTCATGAAACAACATATGAGCAAGAGCCTATGGTGATGAAAGAAGAAGTTCAGGCTGCTTTGAAGGACATGGCCAAAAATAAGGCTCCAGGAATAGATGGTATACCAATTGATATATTTCAGTTAACAGATGCTGCCCTGGACGTGCTCACCAAGTTGTGCCAAGAAATCTGGAGAATGACCACTTGGCCAACTGACTGGAAGAGATCAATATTTGTTCCCATGCCAAAGAAAGGTGACCCAACCGAATGTGGAAACTACAGAACAATTTCACTGATTTCACATGCAAGCAAGATTTTACTGAAAATTATCCAAAAACGACTGGAACAGCACATCAACAGAGAACCACCAGAAGCCCAGGCTGGTTTCAGAAGGGGTCGTGGTACTAGAGATATTGTAGCTGATGTTAGATGGATCTTGGTTGAAAGCAGGGAATATCAGAGGAATGTCTATCTGTGCTTCATTGACTATGCAAAGGCATTTGACTGTGTAGATCATAACAAACTGTGGCTGACTCTGGGAAGAATGGGAATCCCAGAACACTTGATCGTTCTAAGGCGAAACTTATACTTGGACCAGGAGGCAGTCGTCAGAACAGAGCAAGGGAACACTGCATGGTTCAAAATTGGGAAGGGCGTACGCCAGGGATGCATCCTATTTCCATACTTCTTCAACCTATATGCAGAACAGATTATCCGGGAGGCTGGGCTCTATGAGGAGAAATGTGGGGTCAGGATTGGTGGACGATTTATCAACAATCTGCGTTATGCAGATGACACAACCCTGCTTGCTGAAACTGAGGAGGACCTGAAGCGCCTGCTGCAGAGTGTCAAGGACTGCAGCCTGCAATATGGATTGAGGCTCAATGTCAAGAAGACAAAGATTCTCACCACTGGACCAATTGGCAGCATCAGGATGGATGGTGAAGAGATTGAGATTGTACACAGCTTTAGTTTGCTTGGCTCCATAGTCAACAGTCTTGGCACCAGCAGCCAGGAAATTAGAAGGCGCATTGCCATGGGAAAGTCTGCTGTTAGGGACCTCTCCAAAGTGCTGAAGAGCAGTGGTGTCTCTCTGGAGACTAAGGTGCGTCTGATACAGGCCATGGTCTTCGCAATCACCTGTTATGCATCAGAGAGTTGGACAATGACCAAGGAGGATAGAAGGAGAACTGATGCCTTTGAGCTGTGGTGCTGGAGAAGAGTACTGAGAATACCATGGACTGCTAGGAAAAGAAATAGATTTGTCCTGGAGAGGGTTAAACCGGGTGGCTCCTTGGAGGCAAGGATTCTGAGGCTCCGTCTAACTTACTTCGGACATGTAGTGAGGAGAGACCGGTCCTTGGAGAGGGACATCATGCTTGGGAGGGTGGAGGGACGGCGCAGGAGAGGAAGGCCCTCTATGAGGTGGATTGATTCAGTGACTGGGATAATTGGGATGGGAGTGTCAGAGACAGTGCGATTGGCACAGGACAGAGCGGAGTTTAGGGCTGTTGTACATTGGGTCGCTATGAGTCGCAAGGGACTCGATGGCACATAACAACAACAACAACAACAATAGAGCTTCTTTAGGAAATGCCAACTATTATCTCCATTTTTATAGAAAATGAGGTCCTGAAAGACAATTTGACTCACTTAAGGAAGTAATCCTTTATTAAAGCTTAGAAAAATTCTTATGCATATAGACTACACAGTATTATTATTTTCAAATCAGCTAAGGTTATTTCTTCCTATTAAAATTTCGCTTTAAAGTATCAGTGATCATAGACAAAAACAAAGACTGGCTTTGGTTTCTGCACCTAAACTCTTTGTGAAAAATACTACATATTTCCAGTTTTCATTGGTTTATGTAAATCAAATAACTCAGCATCTGGTATAAATTAAGCTATGCGGGAACGTGAGTTATCTGTCAGTGATCTGCTATGGAGTCCCTGAGTGGTGCAACCTGAGTGGTGCAAGTGGTTAATGCTTTTTGGCTGCTAACTGAAAAGTGGATGGTTTGAGTCCATCCAGAGGCATCTCAGAAAGGTAGTGATCAGCTTCTGAAAAGGCAGTCATCAGTTCTACTCTAAAGGAAATGAAGTTGCCATGGGTTGCCATCAAAATGGCAACTGAACAACCTATCTGGTAACCTAGTGGTTAAGGAGCTACGCTGCCAACCCAAAGGCACGTGGCTTGCATCCACCAGCCACTCCACAGGACCGGCAATCTCCTCCTGTGTGATTTACAGCTTCTGAAAACCCATTGGACGGTCAGCTGAGTCAGTTCCAATGCACAACAACAACAAATCTGTGAAATTTTCACCGTAAATAGTCCTTTCAAGGTTAAGTAGTCCCCACTCCCATTGAGTGATTTCACTCTTCTCCGATCATAATGTAAGCAAACTCCGTCTTCTATTGTTATTTATCTGCCTCATCTGCACAGCTTGTCACCCTAACTACGTTTCAAGCTCCTGGAAACCTGGAACTAATTCTTGCTTTTCTTCTGAGTCAACTTTAGCATTTAACAGAGTTTCAATAAATTTGAGAATATCCCTTTCCTAAAATGTTGACCACACAATGGACTTAAGCACAACAGAAACAGTATGGATGGTGCAGGATTAAGAAGATTTTGTTTTGTTGGGTGTAGAGTGACTATACAATGGTGTCAACAACAAGTTGTGAAGGAAATCTTGGATTTCTTTCCTTTAAA